TGTTCTATTAAATTCAGAATAAAATAATTTAAAAAAAGAATGTTTAAAAAAACTAAATAAATAAATAAATAAATAAAACAAAAAAAAAAAAAATAGAAAGCTCTCAGCTTCCTCACCCTGGCACCTTTGTCTTAGCTCCTTCCTGGACTGCCCCATTCTGCCCCTCCCCAGCAGTGATCTTTTGCAACCCAGGACCAGTAAGTAACCCAAGGTTTCCATCTGTTCCACCCCGTTCCATGAAGCCTTGTGGCCTAGCGTTACTTTCCTATACCTTCTTCTACTAAATTTATCTTAAAAATTGATTGGAGGGAACATTTTATCCTGGTTAACCCAAGTATAATTTGAGCTCCTAGCCCTGGGCATAAAAATGATTAGTTACGGTTCTGCTGGGACAAAAAAACAGAAAGACCTTGAATGTCAGTTCGAGAAGTTTGGACTTTGTTCAATAGGTTATGGAAAGGTTTTGAAAATTTTGAAGTGGGAGGAGGGGGTAATATAATTAGAGCTATATTTTAGGGAAATTAATTTGATGACTCTGAAGGATAGATTAGAAGGAAGAAAATCTAGATTCATGGAAAATAATTAGGAAGCTATTAGCTGAAATGAAAAAAGGGCCTGAATTAGGATGGCCATACAAACATCTTTGCAGGTATTACCAATAGAAATATGTAGCGTATATAAGAGATTTAACTTCATTAAGTCCTTAAAATATGCTATTACTCAAACTTTCCTGGATAGACATCATTTGAACTAACCATTGTTGGTTTAGAATTTTGCTGGATGTTAGGGAGAAAACAAAATAGTGATGATAACATTTTGCTGCATAGTGAAAAGACCAAACTCAGAATTAGGAGACCTGAGTTTGAGCCTTGGCTATGACATTTACTAGCTGTGTGCTATGAGGATGAGTTCTCTAATCTTTCTAAGCCTCAGTTTCCTTATCTGTAGAGTTGAGATAATAAAACTTGCACTATCAGTGTATAAGGGAAGCACTATGCAAATATGAGCTATTAGTCCTCAGCAGATAATCTACTACAAAATGGAAAATTGAGAGTATACATGTATCTTAATCCTTGTTACAATTCCCACCTCCCCCCCCAAGTTTTGCCCGGTAGTCTTCTTTTCTATTGTCCTGATGAGTTTTGGGAATAGTGTTAGCTTCCTATGTACTTTCAGCTCTCATTTGCAAGCCTCAACTTCATTTGGATTTTGATTGCATTCAGGTCCTAATTTATTACTTAACAAGTGTCTCCCAAATACCTAATTAATTTTAATTTCATTATGTGTTTGAAGATGATTTATAGAGAAAAATAGGATGATGTTCCCATTGCTAATAATTAGAGTTCACTTAGCAAATAAAACACTGTGGTTTTACTATGATGAAGTCTCTGGCTAGAGGTTTTTTTTTTTAAGGTCAAATAAAGGAGTACCATGTTTCTAAGCAGACTCAGCACCCTTTCTTAAAATAATTCATGACCTGGGGAAAATATTCTCCTGTGTTTACCATGTCTTTTACGCCTTACCATATTTCATAGAATGGTGTAGTGCAGGGGTGGGGAACCATTGGCGTTGAGGCCACATGTGGCCTTCTAGGTCCTTGGGTGCAGCCTTTTGACTGAATCCAAGTTTTACAGAACAAATCCTTTCATTAAAGGGATTTGTTCTGTGGAGTTTGGATTCAGTCAAAGGGCCACACTTGAGGACCTAGAGTGCCATATGGGCCTCCAGACCTCAGATTCCCCACTGCTGGTCTAGTGAGATGAGCACTGGACTTGAAATCACAAGGCCTGGGCTCAAATCTTGGCTCTTCCTTGTTGCATGATTTGGGGCACATTGCTTTATTTCTCTGGGCCTTATTTTTTCTAATTTGTGTAATAGGGAGAACTGCAACTTGGAATATTTTTACCTGGGGCAAAAAGAGTTGAGTAGGCAAAAAGTTGGGAGGAAAGGGGGGGCATCTGTGGGTGGCATCATTGCAAAGGAAAGTTGTAATAGCAAGGGAAGAAAGTTCAAGCATTAACATCCTCTCCCCATGAGGATGAGGTGTAAGGCAAGCCCTCAGAGGGCAATTGGTACCCTGGATGGGGTCGGGTGGGAAATGGTCTTAAGCATAGTTGCATTATGTTGGTGAGGGCCAGTGGAGTTTTTGTTGTTGTTTAGTTACAGTAGTATAGGACCCAGTATAGGATTGGTGGTCCTTGGGGGTGGGGAGCACAGCCCCATTCCCTCCACCTTTTGAGTCCAGGAGCAAAGTCCTATTTATCTCATACTGGTTACAGCTTTTAGAAATGGGGATAATAGTCCTTTTTTTTACTTACATATAGGATTGCTGTGAGGTTCAAATGAAATGTAAAACCCCTATGGAAACATTGATGCACCATGCAAAAATAAGGTACTATTATTTCTGGTAATCATTGTTTCCCCCCCAAAAATTTTAAATTTACAATAACAATGCCATGTTAAATTTCTAAGTGGGTTTGTGTTTATTTTATTTTATTTTAGCTCTCGTTATAGGGTAGCTAGGTGGCACAGGGGATAGAGCACTGAACCTGGAATCAGGAAAACCCAAGTTCAGATCTAGCTGTGTGGTCCTGGGCAAGTCACTTAACCCTCTTTGCCTCAATTTCCTCATCTATAAAATGAGCTGGAGAAGGAAATGGTCAACTGCTCTAGTATCTTTGCCAAGAAAAGCCCAAATGGGTTCACAAAGAGTCAGGCCCATCTGAAACGACTGGACAACAACCGTGACAGATTCTTTGTGATAAATTATTTGCCCTGGACCTTAATAAATGTGGAATACTTCATACACATCTCCTTTTTTAATGGAGATGAACAATATTTCTTTTTTTCTTCTTCTATAAACATCATTTTAGGGATGTAGATCAAGGAATTGAAGAATTAGCAGGACTGGTATGGGTCAAACACACAGACATTCTGCTATTCTCATCTACTGATTGAAAATATTCATCTTTATTGCAATGTTGAATATATCTAGGGAAAGGATAACTTATAATTCCAGTCATGTAAAATAAAATGCTTTTGTGAAATGGGTACAGAAAATTCTTTAAAACTCATTTTTAAATAAATCTTTTCATTGTAAAAATATTAGGAAGACTTCTTTGTTAGGAATAAGGGAAAAGGGAAAGAAAGAAGAAAGGGAGATTTTAGAAAATCAATTCCTAGTACTTTATGCTGCTGAAATATAATCCTCTCAGCAAGAATTTTGATGGATGAACTATTTGGTTGCTCTTAGAATCATAAAACACCTTTCTTGTGCATTTCTGCAAAGGGTTAGTGAGTTTGGTCAAATGGGAATAATCTTATCTGGACAGGCATTTCTTTAAGTTTTTCCTTCCAATAGAATCATAGAAAATTTCTTGAAAGAATATTGGAAATCACCTAATCCAACTCTCTCATTTCATTTTATCTTATTTTTCCACTTCAAATTTCAAGTCACTATTTTTTTACTTTGTTTTTTAAAATGTATTTTCTTATGTATTTTGACTATATGTCATTTTCTACACCAACCTTCTTCAGAGTCAACCCTTCCTTGTAACAAAGCAAAGCTATTCAAAACAGAGACCATGTTTGACAATACACCTAACATTTTATGCTGTTAGTCCTCCACCTCTCTGCCTTGAGGGTTAACTTATGGTTGGGGTCACCGAGATAATTTGTATTAGAGATGGGACTTGACTCAGGCCTGTCTCTTGAGACTGGCTCTATCTACTACACAATGCTGCCTCTTTCTGTGTATATTTTAACTAGCAGTAACACTCATGAACCATTTCAGTGAATTCTCTTTCAATAAAATTAAAGTTAAAGTGAAAATGTCAGTGATGGCATGAGAAAATATATACACACATGATTGGTAAGTGCCTGAATCCAAGGTAGTTGATATGCCCCATTTGTTTCATTAATATTGGCAGCACCTAAACCTGGCCTGATTTCTCAAAAGTAACCCATTAGTCCCAAAGGAGATCTAGTATGGATGGATCAGTATAAATATATCACCATAGTATTTTTAAAAAAACCTAAAATGTATGTTTTTATCACCTTTTAATATCCTGATTTCCATAATTGCTTAGTGCTTCTCCTGCAAAATGACCTTGTTTTTATCTACCTATATATAATATGTATATATATATATATACACATATATATATAAGTATATATTGTCTCCCCAATAGAATGCACACTCCTTAAAGGCAAGTCATTTCATTTTTGTCTTTTATCTCTAGCCCCTAACATAAGTACCTGGTCCATAGAAGGTGCTTAATAAATGCTACTTGTTTACTATCAATGATGGATTGATTTTTACAAAAAGAACACAGAAATACATAGCATGTGTGTGCACATGCATGCACACTTTTTTGGGAATTTTTCTAGTCAAAGGAAGATTTTTAGGAAATGTTGAAACTTAGATTAGAGAGACCCTGGAGAGGAGAAGAATTGAGGGGAAAATTAGGTACTTATTCACTATTTTCAGATACTTGAAAAGTTGTTGTGACAATGGATTCTAGGGGTGGAGAACCTGTGGCCCGGAGGCCACCTGTGGCCCTCTAGGTCCTCAAGTGTGGCCCTTAATCTAGAGGGCCGAATGTGGCCTTGAGGCCATAGGTTCCTCACCCCTGGATTAGACTTGCACTGCATGGCATTCAGGGGACTAATTGATAGTAGATATTGGCATGACCAAAAAGAGTTTTCTAATAATTAGAGCCGGGAACAAATGGAATGGGCTTCCTTGTGAGTATTCCATCACTTGAAAGGAGTAGCTAAATAAAGATTAATCAGAGACACTGGAGAGAGTATTAATATATTGGATAAGGGTTGGGTTGAATGGATTCTAATATCTCTTTCAACTCTTGAATTATCTGATTCTAAGGAAGGGAAGCAGTTGTGGGGTGGTTCAGGGTATTTACAAGACATGATCTATCTCTGACTTCTAAATCAAGGATGATGAAAGTGATTTACCCTCTTCTCTTCTTTCCTTCTTCTAGAAAAAGCAAGTGAGTCAGACGAAGATCCGGGTGATCTCAACCATATTATTCATCTTGGCAGGCTGCATTGTATTTGTAACAATTCCTGCGGTCATTTTTAAGTACATTGAGGGATGGACAGCCTTGGAATCCATATACTTTGTGGTTGTCACATTGACCACTGTTGGCTTTGGTGATTATGTGGCAGGTAAGAAGTCTAGGATCCAAGTGGGCTTGCCTCTGTGTGTGTGTGTATATGTGTGTGCAGACACATATGTATTAAAGGGAAGGAATGGAAATATCTCTGTTAATAAGGTTTTTCCAGCCTGTCTGTTGAAATAACAATCTTGAGAGTAACAATGAAAATTGCTCAGAATATCATGCTTATGTGTGGCTAGCAATAAAAGTGGCATACTGGGGCAAAATCTGATTTAAAATCCATAGGCTTGCATGATGCAAAAAGTACCAAGTCCTTGCAGTAGAAAGGAGGTAAGCTTTGTACATCTGTAAAGCTTATTTCTCTTATGATTGTATGAATTATGTATGAGTGAAATGAATTTCCTTCCAAACACTAAATTCTCAACTCTATCAGTACACTGTAGACCAATACCACCAATAAATATTGATTTAAATTCACAATTACAAAGACTATAGCAATTTATCCCAAAATTTTTTCACTATGATTAAGTTGGAATTATATCAAGGTTACAAGGATGGCCCAACATCTGGAAAACAATTCTTCTTGGAATTCATTATTTTAGTAAGTCATATTAAGTCAGAAACACCTGAAAGCACATAATTATATCAAGTAATACAGAAAAAGACAAATATACATTGGCAAAATACAGTATTCACTTATGCTAAAACTCTTCCCTGCCCCCCTCCAAAGCATAGGCACAGAAGAGCCACTTTTTCATTTGGTAAAAGCTATACATTGAAAACTAAAAACTACCATAATTTGCAATAGGGAAACCTTAAAAGATTTCTCCATAAAAATAGGTGGTAAAGTAAGGATGTCTCCTTTCTCCATTGATATTGAATAGGCTAGAGATAGCAATTTAAAGGCTAGAGTTAGCAATAGACAAAAAAAGAATGAAAGGCAAAAATAGAGACAAAAAGTAGACAAAACTATGCCTATTTGGTAATGATATTATGGTTTACTTAGAAAACTCCAGAGAATCAGCAAATAAATCAATTTTAATAACTTAGATAATAGTTTCAGGAAAATAGCAGAAAACAAAATAAACTAAAAAGTTAATAGAATTTCTATATGGCAATAACAAATCTAGGATAAAATATTAGAAAGAGAAAGTCCCATTCAATATAGATAGATGTTTTTGTACTTCTTGAATCAATTAACAGTGGCCTTCATTTTCTACGCTAATAGCTAACACAATATACTAAAGATATTTTCTTACAGGATGGATTGCAATGGATCATTAGACTTCTGGGCTGGTTTTAGCAGCTCCCTGTTATTGTTAACAAACATCTGAGGCTTTCTTTGACCCAGCTCATAGATTTCTGAGGACTATTTGGCATTAAGTGTCATAGCAAGAAATTATTACAATTGAAGATGCATTTGTGGTGGGCAAGACAGCAATAATCCTCATAATCAAATACTGTTAAGAGGACCAGTTAAAAGAGATTAAAAAAAAAAGATCACCATCAGGTATACATTGGGGGCAGTGCAATGGTGAGGGTGGGATGGGGTGGAAGTGGGGTTGATAACAAAGTGGAATTTAACTTCTTTTCTTTACATTCTTCCCTAAATGTCATTAGAAGATAATTATGGGAGGATGAGTCCTACTTCCTTCTGTTTTCAGTTTCATCCCATAGGGGTCATTTCCAGTTAGCAGGTTAACTAATTTCATACTATAAAATGAAACTTTTCAGCATTAACATAGCCATAATTTAAATATTTATTTTATTTGGTCAAATGTTGTTTTTTACTGTTCTTACTGTTCTTTGGCTAAACATTGGGCAGAAAATTCAAAGATTGCATCTCTACCCTATTTTGACTGTATGTACCAATTTCTATATATGTTGTCTCCTTCATTAGAACATAAACTTCTTAAGGACAGGGACATTTAAAAATTTTTTTCTTTGTATCTTAGAACTTAGCATAGTGGCTGGCACATAGTAGGTGCTTAATAAATACTTGTTGCTTGCTTGTGAATGACCCCAGGAAAGATTTGGCTTCTCCATAGAGTGTAGAAAACTCAGTGATAGATGATCTGTCCTATGGAAAGCTGTTCAGAGGGAATTATAGAAAGGCTTCCATAGGCCAGACAACGAATAATGGCACTATTGCCTGCTTTTTAATTGCCTGACCCAGAGGACCCACCAGGGAAGTCTACTTTGTTGTTACTCCCATTGAGTTGCATGGAGCTTCAGGCCACTCTGCATAAATAACAGTCTTTCACCCTAATTGCCTAGGTCTATCACTAAAAATTAAAAAGCTGAGGTGATTAATGCTAAAACATTCAACATCCAAACTGGTATCTGGCCCTTTGGGCATTCTTTCCTTTCAGGTAGCCAGGTTAAGTGTCCATTTGAAAGCATCCACTTAGAAAAACACTGGTTTCATTTGAATAGACCAGGATGCCTATAGACAGTAGAAAGCTAGGGGTGGAGTGAGTAGAAAATAAGCATGGGATAATAAGAAAAAACCTTGTGAATGTTCCAGTCTGATTTCAATTACTAGAAATGTAGGTCTGATTTCATAATTATAAATATTTGTAACTAGGAAAAAAAATCAATGTCTCTGACAAAAGTGAAATGCACCTATTTAACATTCTTTTGAATTTATAATGGTTCCACAAATGTATTGAAGTAGTGGAAAGCATAACTTGCTTGAGATTGGGCTCTAAAGAGGGGTCCTTGTAACAGTCTCGTCTTTAGATTCCAAGCAGCAGAACCCTAGAGGATGGTTCTAACTACAATTTTCTGGAACATCAGTAACTTGCAGCCAATTTATATGGTAGCAAAAACATCATTAGTTGATGGTTTGGACCAATATTTATGGTTGGAATAATTCTAGAATGACTGTTCTGCCGAGAATATAGGTACATGTTAGAGGTGCCTTCTTGTCTTAAAACTTTTTATGAGTCGCTGACAAAAGAAAAATGAATTAATCAGTCAGCTACTAGTCAACAAGTATCTATTAAGCATTTACTATATACCAGGCATTGTGCTGGGGATACGAATAAAGGTAAACTTACTCTTGGAACTTCAATCACATCCTTTTAGAAAATCATTTGTATAGTGGTACTGTGAAAATTTTCCCCTTATCCATCACTGTCCTTAAACACATCTACCTTAACTGTTTTCCTTCCTGTATTTATATTATCCAATACCATATATCTATACCAGTGGCAACAATGTTACAATGGAAAAAATGTTGGCTCTAGAATCAGTGGGACTGGGTCTAAATGCTCTCTCTGATGATTAGTGATCTTGGGCAAGTTACTTAAATTCCCTTGTCCTCAGTTTCCTCTTCAGTAAAGGGAGTAGGCTTCTAATAGTCCTTTTAGTCCTACGTCTTTGATTCTTTAACCAAGGTGACCTATATTTAAACATGCTTAGTTTTCACTATAACTACAAATGAACATTTTAAAAATGTAAAAAAAAAATCCTTCCTCCGCTGAAATTCATGATCTTCAAATAGACAAGTAGGCAACAAGCATTTATTAAGTGCTTACTGTGTATAGGTGGGCTGACACAGATGTGGTAACTTATGCTGCTTTAGTGACCCTTTCTTAAGGATGATTATTTCAAAGATAAGATTTTTTTTTTTAATTCTCTGAGGGTTCCTTACATGGCTAAAAGTCTCTGGGGTCTGATCTAAGCTGGTGAAAATGACACTGATTATAGTAAGATAATGTATATAAAGTACTTTACAATCCTCAAAGCACTATCTACATGCTAACTATTATAAGGAACATATTTCCTTTGTGCTCTGAAAGTTTGCAATGATTGAGGTTGACTTTAGGTCCTCCTGTTGGCTCTAAATAGACAAAGACCACTTTTGCTTTCAGGGTCCATTGAAAAGCTCTTGCAGACTTATCAGAGCAAACATATGGCTGATAAAGACTGGATTTTAATTATTGCTAATTTATATTAATACTACAAGTGCACCAGGAAACCAGGCAACATCACTTAAAAATAAAAACCTAGCAGGTGCTTGATCATCTGCCTGCTTTGGCCTAGAAGTAGTTCTACTAGGCTTCTCCACAGCTAAGCTGTATCAGGAAGATGACTTTTGCTAACTGAGCTGAATAGAATTAGTTGCTGGTTGATTTTGTTATTGGCTGAATTTATCCCCAGCAGAGCTGTGCTGCTGTTACACCATCTTGCCCCCTGATTTTGAGGGGACGCTGCTCTGCAGGGTTCTAGAGGACAGGTACACAATGAAAATGGTCACGAATTGCATTATTCTCTAGCACACCCTAGTGGCCTTCATTATTGGGTAAATGGCCTGCAGAAGTCAATGTTTATCTTCAGGGTGGGATGGTTCCAAAGAGAAGTATCCTAGAAAGGCGATGGTGTACAGGAATCTGAATTACTCACTGGGGCAAGTGCTTCTGGAATTAGTCCTTGAGGAGCCTTGTGGGAAGTGGAAAAGGTGATGAAATGAATTGTGGGGGCTTGCTCTTTGCTTGTTCTGGCTCTTGGCTGGGATGCTTGGATTTGTAATTTTTAGAAAGTTGATAGCAGTTATAGAATCATTTCCCAGTACAAATTGAAGCATCAATCAGTCAATCATTTGTTAAGCACCTACTATGTGCCAGACATATTGCTAAGCCCTTTGAGAATAATCTCATTTGATCTTCATAACAACCCTGGGAGGTAGGTGCAATTATTGTTATTATTCCCATTTTACTGCTAAGGAAACTGAAGCAAATAGAAATTAAGTGGCTTGATGAGGATCATACAATTAGTAAGTATCTAAGGCTAGATTTGAACCTACGTCTTTCTGATTTCAGGACCAGAGCTCTTTCCACTTTGCTCAGTGGACATGGGACAGCCACTTAACCTCTCAATGCCCCAGGCAACTCTCTAAGACAAAAATGCAAGGAAGTTCCCTACACAGATAAAGTCACTGACTGGACCCTTGTCCCTATCCCCTTCTCTACTCATTTTACCTCTATCTAAACTCCTCACGCCTTAAAATGGTGTAGTGGATAGACAGTTGATCTCAAAGCCAGGAAGACCTGGTTCAACTCTTGTTCCTGACGTATAATGGCTGGGTGACCCTGATTAAGTCATTTAACTCCTCAGTGCTCTCGACAATTCTCAAAGGCTCTAAGTTACAGAGCAAGTGCTAACTTGCATTGGTAAAGGGAGTTTTCTCACCAGGGAGTTCCCTCCCTATACCAGTAAAATCACAGGTTTAATCTCTATCTGTGTCAATATGAGTTTAATGACGCTAGATGTGGTCAGACCCTTGGGGATTTTTAAATTACAACATATGATGGAAATCATAATTATGTAGCTTACAATAAAGGCACTCTACAATTACCCACATATGCCATCCCAGAAATGATCATTTCTCTACTTCTCTGTGATGAATAATGATGTCTTCAGCAAGAGGAGTAAAGATGGCTGACTTATTTATTTTAAAATCCTTCAATCCAGTGCTCAATTTTCATGATTCATAAGTTGTATGAATAATTCAGAATTAAAATTTCAAATTCTGATCATATTACTCGTCTGCACAAGAAGCTCTACTGGTCCTTTTGTGCCTCTAGGATACAACGCAAGCTCCTTTGCCTGACCTTCCAAACTCCTCACAATATGGCTCCAGCCTATTTCCAGACTTATTATACATTACTCTCCTTCATGAATTCTTTAGTCCCATCAAACTGGCTTACTCACTGCCCACTATACGCAGGGCACAGTAGACAGAACATTGGACCTGCAGTCAGGCAGACCTGAGTTTCAATCCAGCCTCAGACACTGACCTTTGCTCATGAGACCCTGGTCAAATCATGTAACCTCTCTCTGCCTCGAAGAAAGTGCTAGTGATGTAGAGTCATGAAGCTTCTGTGTAGTTTATACATCTTTGGCTTGGCTTTTCCTTATTCTTGATGCATATTCTTGACTATATATTGCTAATCATCCTCACTTGTTTCCATCTTTTGCACTGAAGTATGTGTATTTAATTCAGAGGGTCTTACTGAGTTCTTCATAGAATTTTCCCACCTCTCCATCCCCTGTGTCAGATGCTGATACATCAGTTGAAATTATTTCTGTTTTTGCAAATACTTGTAATAAGCAGTACAATGTAAAATGATGAAATGTCTCATGAAATATGACTTCTTGTCTTTGAACACATAACAGAAACTAATTCCATCAATTCCTTTATTTGACTTAACAAGGAGAACCTGAAGTCCTTCTATCACTTGGCTGCAACTTTCTTCTTTCTTCAGGTTCTGTTAGAGGGAAAATGCCAAGACAGATATAATTCACTTCCTTCAATAGTCATTGGACATAGATCTCATGTTTAGACTGCCTCTTGTAGGAGGTGGGACTTGAGCTTAGCCTTTTTTTTTAATTTTTAAATTGAGTTTAGTCTTTAAGGAAGCCAGGGTATAGAATTAAGATATAAAAGCATTGTGGGCATGGGGGACAGCCAGTGAAAAAGTACAGAATTGAGAAATGGAGAGCCATGCGTGAAGAACATCAAAAAAGCCAGCATTCCCAGATTGCAGAGTATATAGAGGAGAGTAATGTATAAGAAGATTGGCAGGTAATAAGGGGCCAGGTTGTGAAGATCTTTAAAAGCCAAACACAGCATTTTATGTTAAAGGGAACCACTGGAGTTTATTGAATAGAGAGAGATAACATAGACAAAACTGCACTTTAGTAAGATTGATCTGACAGTTGAGTGGAGGACAGACTGGAAAGTGGAGAGACTTATTTTATGAACATAATTATATAATAATTGCATAATATATGTTACACATATATAATGTATGGAATATTACATAAACTACAGATGCAGTTGATTTGCAATAGAAAACCTTTGGTGAACAAGTTTTTTTTTCCTCTTCTTAAATTTTTGTTAAAAGTGATGGCTCATTGAGTACAGAATGGAAGAGAGTATGTATTCAGAAATGAAGGTAATATAAACACAAAAGATATCAAAAAAACAATCTTGCAAAAAATTAATTAAAATGTAATATCACAGGGAGGGTTCATGGTAATAGTGAATAGGTTGCAATGAATAACTAAGCTTTAAAGAAGAACCAGAGTAAAGAATTTCATCAGGGAAATCTATGATTGAAAAAGAAGATGGGCTGGTTACATGGTGAGAGCTTGGGATAGTAAGTGGACAGTTTGAGTACTCCAGTGCTATCCTTGCAGTGTTGAGAGAAAGTGAGGAAAGCCCTCAGCACCTTGGGTTGGAATCTCTGGTGTGAAATTGTGGGAGGGCAAGGGCAAGAGCTCGACAGTAATAGGCAAGCATGGAGGAATTTTGATCTGCATCATTGAAGGCAACATCAGCATCTATGGAATCATAGAACCGCTTGAATATTTGAGTAAAATCCCTTACCCTTACCCCCTCCTTAATTCAAGTCAGGCAAGTAGGTGGTGTATATTTTACACATCTGTTTAAAAATCTGGACTTATCAGGGATTATTGAATGAGCTAATTGGGCCCTATCAAATGATCAGTTTAAAGTCAATACAGCCAAAGAGCTGGTCAGTTCAATTTGTCCAATTGTTTTCATTCTACTGACTAATTGTCAAAGAAAGGAATGGAACACATGATCTCCAGTTCCCTTCCACTCTCTAACTGATGCCTTTTTTCTCCCCCTCCTCCAGCTTTAACGTTCTATGGTCATAATTGGCAAAAATGAGTGGTTTTTTTTTTTTTTAGCATCATAGAGACAAACTATGATTAATACTAATACACATCTTCCTGAATAGATGATTGAAAAACTATAAAATTTCTATTTTTTTATCTTAAGTCATACTCTTCCTTCTTGGCTAAGTGCATTTATGGAAAAGTAGAAATGAGTTCCATAGGTCTATTAAAGAATTCCAAGCCATTTTGGATTATTTCACAGTGTTTATTTTACATGTAACTAATTTAGGATATTAAAAATAATACCCAAGATGGCTCTCTTTGGCTTAATTTATTATCATACTACATAATTTAAGATGAAGTGTAAGTGAATGATAAAGTCACTCATCCAAGTTTTCCATGACATTATGTGTTTCTCAATTAGGAATGACAAGGCAGCCACTAATTAAACTCTTCTAGGGGACAGATATGTTCTTTCCTTAATGACCACTAGAAGAGTCTTTAGCATTGTCCAGTACTCTTCTTAATAATAATTATCCCTTCCATATCGAGACTTTCCCCATTGAGGTTTTGATATAGTGTATTCTGTGGGTCGGCATAAGAAATTAAATGGGAATTTTTGAGAGTTTTGCAGAAGCTGCAGATGACACACAAAAGCCATCAGACAACACAGAAAAAGTTTAGAAATTCAGAAATGCATAAAATATGTGTATAGTATTGTATAATATCAAACCAAATTTTACAATAATGTACTGTAGACCCCCATAAAAGAAAAGGAAAAAATTCAGACTTCTTCTTTGTTACTAAGGGAGGGCCCAAAGAGTTCTATATGTATTTTCCAGATGGTAGGGGTGCTGTGTCCCTAACCCCTGCAATGCAGAGGGGATAATTGTATACTTTCATTTGATGGACTAAAATACATGGATGCTGCAAAACTAATGTATGAAAAATAATCACATAGTAACATTTTGTTCTTTTTAGGGGGAAATGCCGGTATCAATTATCGAGAGTGGTATAAACCCTTAGTGTGGTTTTGGATCCTGGTGGGTCTCGCCTACTTTGCTGCCGTCCTCAGCATGATTGGAGACTGGCTCCGAGTTCTGTCCAAAAAGACAAAAGAAGAGGTATGATACTTTTCCCACCTATGAAGCTATTTCAAGGAACATCAGGCCAAACCAAAGACAGTCTTAACCTCATGTTTGTGCTTGACCTACTACTTCTCACTAAACTTTGTCAAACTGCATTTTTAAAAAATGATATTTTTAACCAACATACCAAATGGAGTAGCAATCTCTAAATTCTTTCCTGGTAGGGGAGAAAAGGTGGTGATTCAAGTATTAATCTAACATTGAGTACCTAGTATTTGGGTATACCACACTCTTGGTAGTGTAAAAGGGAAAAAACAAAAACAAAAACCTTTAAGAATAGCAGAGCATGAGTTGGGATCAAGCATGGTTGATATATGTGACACTATCTTCTATCAGTAGTCAAAGAAAGAAGACTGAAGAAGAGAAAGAAGCCCAGTAAAAAAAAAATTCCTTCAATTATATTTGTGGTTATGTGATTAGGCAATGCTATGATACATAAATTCTTTGTTGATTTGTTATTATGAGCCTTTACTATATTGCACACCAAATCAAGCAATAATGGTCAGTCTTGAGGAGATAAAAGTTTAAGCAGCCTCATTCTCTCCCTTGTGCTTTAGATCAGTAGAGAAATGTGTTCCATTTGCTAAATACAGTTAACCCATGGGCATCGATTCTTATGAAAACCTAGTCAAAGGCAAAGAAAGAAGAAAGACAGGCCATGAATAAAATTTTTAAAAGATTAAAAATAGCATGCTTTTATTAAGGATAAAAAGGAGAAAGAAGTAAAATGGGGGTCTTTTGGTGGTATAGAGGCAAGAGCACTAAAGGGGATGGGAGGGCTTAAAGCATGGCACAATGAAAAGAACACTGGGTCTAGAGTTAGAGGACTTGTGTTCAATTTAGGCCTCTAATGTTTACTACATATGTGACTTTGAGCAATTTACTTAACCTTTGTGGGTCTCATTTTCCTTATCTACAAAATGAGAGAGTTGGAATAGATGGTCCTTTCCAGCTTGAGATATATGATCATGAAACTCAGTCTCCTCCAGCAATCTGGACAAAGAAATCCATCTCTACCCAAATTACTCTGGTTGGTTTTCTCCTCCATTGCTTTATTTCTAGTTATTTTCTACTACAAAAAGTGCTACTATACATTTTTTGGTGCTTTTGGGACTTTTCTTTGAATCATTGATTTTCTTGGGGGATGTAGATAACAGTGGGATGACAGAGTCAAAGAGTATGGGCATTTTAATTAACTTATTTTCAACTGCTCCATTTCTTCCAAGAACAGTACTTTATACTTAGTTAATCAGTTAGTAGATATTTATTAAGCACCAGGCTCTGGGGATACAAAAAGAGACAAGACAGTCCCTGCCCTCAAGGAGCTAACAATCTAGTGGGGAAAACAACAAATAAACAAATATGTACACACAAGCTACATACAGAAAAAAATGGAAAATAAATAAGACAGAGAAGGCAGTAGAATTATGAGGGATTGGAATAGTTTTCCTAAAATGAGTATTTCGTTATGAGATAAATTATTATTTTCTATGGTATTAATAACCTATTTTTAAATTGTAATCCAGGCATTTTTTTTCTATTTCCTCATTTAAGGCTCAGCCCCTGTAGATCAGTCAGTCAGTCCCTGAAGGACAAGGCTGATAGATGAGATTGCCCAAATCCTCTAAGAACACTCTCTTCCACCCAACTAGGAGACATTACTTCTGTTTAGAGTGTAAACAGAATCTAATCTAGGAGAATTCCAGTCCCAAAGCATTCATTGAGTTTATGCCCTTGTACCACACCCCTACCCCTATTGGAGTTTAGGGTAACCCAGCTCATGAAGCAGAAAACCAGCCAGAGTAATTTGGGTAGAGATGGATTCCTTTGTCCAGATTGCTGGAGGAGACTGAGTCTCATGATCAAGCCATGTTCTCATCAAGAGGAACTGAACGACATTTGGCCCACCTCCTCCTTTAAATGTCCACCAATCAGCATTGATTTCTCCCATCAGGGGCATTCCCTTTCAAAAAATATTTAAGGCATTCAATGTCTCCATTAAGTGTCTTTGGGTGCCCAGAGAAACCACTGACCATCAGTTTGTTGATTATTAGCTAGCCTGATTAATAAGTTGATTATTACTTACCCAGAAATTCTGTCTCTCTGGTTTTTCATTCATCTCAGTTAGGAACTGAGGGAAGGAAGTAGATAGAGATGAGTAGGGGGAGCATTCCAGGAATAGGGAACAGCCAGCAAAAATGCCCAGAGCCCAGAGATGGAGGAAATTATTTATGGAACAGCCAGGAGACCAGTGTCACTGGATTGCAGAGTACATGGAGGGGAGTAAGGTAGCAGAAGACTGAAAAGGTAGGAGTGGGTTAGCTCATGAAGGGCTTTGAATGCCAAGTAGAGGATTTTGTCTTTGATCCTCGAGGTGATTAGAAGACATTGAGTAGGAGAGTGATAGTGTCAGTCTTGTGCTATAGGAAAATCACTTTTGTGACTGAATGGAAGGTGGATTGGACTGGGGAGGGGCTTGAGGTAGGCAGACCCACCAGCAATCTATTGTTATAGTCCAGGCATGAGGTGATGAGGGCCTGTACTGGAGTGGTGGCAGTGTCAGAGGAGAGAAGGAATTGTTTTTGAGAGATGGTGCAAGGGTGAAATCGACAGGCCTGGCACCAGCTTCAATATGGAAGAGTGGGGAGGGAGATAGTGAGGAGTCAAGATTTACACTTAGTGTGCAAGTCTAAGAGACTAAGAGAATAATTTTACCCTGGATAGTAATAGGAAAGGTTAAGTGTGGTGAGTGGGGCAGGGTTTAGGGAGAAAGGTGAGCTCAGTTTTGAACATGTTGAATTTATGTCTACTGAACATCCATCTTGAGATGTCTGAAAGGCAGTTGGAGATACAAGATTGGAGGTCAGCAGAGAAACTGAGGCAGATAGGTAGCTCTGAGAATCATCAGCATAGAGATGGTAATTAAGTCCTGGGAGTTGATGAGATCAACAACTGATGTAATGTAAAGGGAGAAGAGAAGAGGGCCCAAGACACAACCCTATTGGACATCTACAGTTAAGAGCCATGATATGGATGAGGATCCAGCAAAGGAGACAGAAAAAGATTCATCAGATAGATAGGAGGAGAACCAGGAGAGAACAGTGTCCCAAAAACCTACAGAGAGGAGATTATCAAGGACAAGAGGTCAATCAGAAGAGTTAAAAGATGCAGAGAGGTTGAAGAGATTGGACTTAGCAACTAAGAGGTCATTGGTAACTTTGGAGAGAATAGTTTTGGTGGAATGGTAAGGTTGGAAGCCAGATTATAAGAGGTTAAAAATAAAGTGAGAAGAGAGAAAGTGATTGTAGAAACTGATTGCAGAGGATTTTTTCCAAGTTTAGCCACAAAGGGCAGAACAGATTTGGGGTGATATTAGGGAAGGAAGGATCAAATTGGGTTTTTTTTTCAGGATGGAGGAGATATGGGAATGTTTGTAGGAAGTGAGGAATGAGTTAGTAGACAAGGAAAAATTAAAAACAAATGATAGAGTAGGGATGAAGAGAGGGCAGTCTGTTGGAAGAGATGGCATGGAATGGGATTGCTGGATCAGGGGGAGAGGTTAGCCTTGGTAAGGAATAAAGCCATCTCTTCATGTGAGATGGAGTGAAAGAGGAGGTATTAGCAGAAGGCTAGTTGGGATAGTAAGTTGATAAGGGAGGTATAGTAAGATTGTGTAGCAGCAGTGAGGGACAAGTTTAGGTTGTATAATATAAATTTGTCGTGGATTCAAAATGTTTGCATTAGTTTTACTACTTTTGTTTCAACAACACCTCTGTAGGAGTAAAGGAGGCAAATGGTGGAAGTGACTCAAGACTGAGGCTTAGCAGAACACAATCTGTGGAATGATAAAAACTCATAAGGGACTCAAGAGAAAAGGATAGTGTAGAGATGAATTGCTTCACCAAGGGATCAAGATGGGGAAAAGAGGAGAGTTACTACTGCAGGAGAGATGACCTGGGAGAGAATTGAAGGGTCAAGGGATTAGAGGTCACAGTACATATAAAGATCAAGGTTTGGTAGGGAAAGCAGAAGAAGAGTGAAAAGCCAATGGATTATAGTTGGATAAGGGGATTTCAGAAATCTTGAACATGGAGGTGGTACATTAGTGGATGATGGTAAGTTCAAGGGTATGACCATCTTTATGTGTGGCTGAGGTGAGGTGGAGGAGTAGATCATGAGATATGAGTAGGTTGAGTTGGTTACAGTGTTTGAGTTAATATGTATGTTGAAGGAGGGCAAGAATTGGAGAGGAGAGAAAAATCGTGAGCCATGTACTGAATTCATTGAGGAAGGAAGGGGACTTACCTCGGAGTCTATAGATAACAGCAACCAGGATTTTAATTGAGTGGTAAATATAAATAGCATGAACATCAAAGCTAGGAGAGGTTACTGAATTATAGAAGTAGGGAGAGAACCTAGAAATGGCAAGGGGAGCAAGGAGTAATCCAACTTCCCCGCTTCCTCCAGGAAGCTGAGGAGAATGAATGAAAGTGTAGACAGTACTGAAACAGGTGGCTGGAGGGGGAGAGGGCTGTATCATCAACAGGGAGCCATAGTAGAAGTTATATAGTAGGCCAATAGTTGTTGAATGAATAAATTCAATTCAATCATTTATTAGACATCTAATTTGTGCAGAATGCTAGGTGCTTTTTTAGGTGCTTTGAGTGATGCGAAGATTAAATAAGACATGGCATCTGACCTCATGGAGTTTACAATCTAATAGAGAGATGCAAACATATTCTGATAAATTTAATGCAAAATATAATGTGACAACTACTTGAGGAGATGAATTCCCCACTTCATTTTTGCTAGCTTTAGGCACAAAGTCTCATTTTCCTGGTTGGCAAAAATAGCTGTGTCAATGTCATTTCAATTTGGAATCCCCAGTTATCTAACAAGATCAGCAGAAACTGCTGCTGGAGGGAGAAAAGGGAACTGTATAAATATCGACTTTCTTGTCTGCAAAGATTCAAATTACTTGCCTACTTAAGGAAGCATGTTATTTGTCCCTCTGATCAAGGCTTACTAAATTCTAGGTCTTTGTCCTTATGTATATGAATCTCACTCTACTGCTGTACCATCGTGTAAGCATCGTGGTACAGTGGAAAGAGCACCAGATTTGAAGCCACAGGACCCGAGTTTGAACCTGGCTCTAACACTTTACTACCTGTGTCATATTGGGCAAGTCGCTTTATATCTCCAAACCTCACAAGTCTTTTGTTATTGTTCAGTCGCTTTCACTTGTGTCTGACTCTTTGTGATCCCATTTGGGGTTTTCTTTGCAAAGATACTGGAGCAGTTTGCCATTTTCTTCTCCAGATCATTTTACAGATGAGAAAACTGAGGCAAACAGGATTAAGTGACTTTCCCAAGGTAGTATGGCACATAACAAGGTGTCCATATTTTATTCCTCTACTAGACTTTAAGTTACTTGAGGGTAAGGATTGTGTCTTATCTCAGTTTATATCTTCCCTCATACCTGCCAAGTGCTCTGTGCTCAGTAGGCACTTAATGTTTATTGAAAGAATGGGCAAATGTATACCTTTCATTTGTCTAGTACTTTACAGTTTCTGAAGCACTTCTTTATACATTCTCTCATTTCAGCCATACACGAGTCCTGTGAGATAAGCAGGCCTAGTATATTTATCTTCATTTTATAAATGAACTGAGGCCCAGTTTAGGGTTAAGTGATATGGCCAAGATCACAGAGATAGAAAGATGTTAAAGTGACACTAGTACTCATGTCTCTGGGATCTTAGCCCAGTCGATTTTCAATTGTATTATGTTACTTCTAAAATGGGTAGTTCTTGTACCCTGACAAAGGAACCTAAATTATCAGACATACTAGAAGAATCTCCTTATATCATGGTCTGATTTACATATATATATATTACCATGGCACGGACGCTAAGAGCAGTGTTACGGTGCATGTCTAATGTACTTGTGTTCATCTCTTGGGAGGCAATCAATGATGATAAGTTGAATCTAATATTTCTAAGAGCTCTTCAGATTTCAACTCCCATGACTTTATGAACCACACTAATTACTGACCAATCAGTTTGAGAGCTTCTGGCTTCATAGAAAGAATATAAATTTCTAGTCTTAAAGTTGAAAGGGATCTTAGAGACCATCTAATCCAATTCCTTCATAAGGGAATTGAGGCCAGAGAGATTTGGTAATTTGCCCATTCTTTGCACTTACTAGTTAATGGCAGAGCAAATATTAGAACCCAATTATCCTGACTTTCTGATATACTAGTTTGAAACTATAATATGTTCTCTCACATCCTATAATCTCATCTTGTGTGTGACATTAACTGTGTGACCATGAGGAAGTTACTTCTGAGCCTCAGTTTCCTCATCTATAAAATGTGAATAACCATCCTTTCCAGCCTAACTTATAGCTTGCTTGTGGGGAATTTGCTCTATAAACCTTAAAGTGTTTTATAAATATAAACTACTACCTATATTACTACCAGCCCTCATTCACTCCCTCATTCATTCAGAAAGCATATATTAAGTGCCTATTATATACTAGCACTGTATTAAGTGTTGGGACTACAAAGATAAAAATTAAAAACAATCCCTGCCCTCAAGGAACTTACATTCTACCTCTTGGCAGTGTTGTTTGGAAAGTGTTTTGGAAACTTTAAGACACTATTTAAGCACCACAAAAGGAACATTACAACTACAGAAATGTGTTATTATTATTGTTATTTTGGTTACTATCTCTAACTTGGTATATGTCCTTAATATTACCCTACTACAATTCTCCATTTGTAAAATTGAAACACCCCTCACATTCTTTATAGGAAGACAACAGATGTGAAGCCAGTGTCCTAGAAAGAAGGGTTAGATGTGTAATTAAAATAAAACCTTCTTTCACTCATGGCATCTTAAATTTTGTGTTTGTTCAGGTTGGTGAAATAAAAGCCCACGCAGCCGAGTGGAAAGCCAACGTGACAGCTGAGTTCCGGGAGACACGCAGACGTCTGAGTGTGGAGATCCATGATAAGCTTCAGCGGGCAGCCACAATCCGAAGCATGGAACGCAGGCGGTTGGGCTTGGATCAGAGGGCTCACTCCCTGGACATGCTATCTCCTGAGAAGCGCTCAGTCTTCGCGGCGCTGGAGACTGGGCGCTTCAAAGCCTCATCTCAGGAAAGCATCAATAACCGACCCAACAATTTACGCCTAAAGGGGTCAGAGCATCTGAACAAACACGGGCAGGGAGCATCTGAGGACAACATCATCAACAAGTTTGGGTCTTCATCATCCAAGCTCACCAAGAGGAAAAACAAAGACCTTAAAAAGAGTGTCCCAGAGGATGTTCAGAAAATTTACAAGACCTTCCGGAATTATTCCCTGGATGAGGAGAAAAAAGAAGAAGATTCAGAAAAAATGTGTAACTCAGACAACTCGAGCACAGCCATTTTGACTAATTGTATCCAGCAGCACTCGGAGATGGAGAACGGTGTGATACCTTCTGAGACCAAAGAAAGGGAACATGAAAACAAATCATTACTTGAAGACAGAAATTAAATGTAATGTGGTGTTAGTGTTTTTATATACATATTGAGACATGTGCCTTATATGAACCTCTTTAATTAGTCTGAATTACATAGCATTGAAGAATATTTCACTGTGCCATAAATGACTGAAAGCTGGCTCTGCCAAAATGAATCAAAGTACAGCACTTCAAATAGTGACAGTAGAACACACACCAGGAGTTTCAACAAGTAGGTTACCATGGTGAAATGTTAAGGGAGAGAGTTACCATGGCAATACAACTGGAAGGTTATCACCCTGGCATAATAGTTGGGGGAAAAAAAGGGCAGCTATTTTTTAGACCAGCCTTTTGAAAGAAAAAAAAAGGTGAGAATTATGTATCTTATCAGTGGAGTCTGGTTTCTTGAACATCTTATATGTTTCCTGAATATACATAGCCATATGTATATACATAGGAAAAGGGGAAATGATTGGGGTGAACTGGTAACTTATTAGAAATTCATTTTGCATTTTGGCAAGTACTCTGAGCTTGAATTTTTAAAAAAATATCATCTAATGCATAGTCTTTCTAAACTCCAAAAGAATGTCCATGGAACCTGAGACCAGTTGGATGTTGGAAGCAGATCAGAGCAAACATGTTAAAAGGTGCAATTACTTTTCTCATTAAAAAAGAAAGAAAAGAACAACAAAAAAAATCACACTGTGGATATCACCTTAACCAATGACAAAAAAATATACTGAATTTCTTTTTTTTTTCTCTGAGGGGTAGCCCAGATGAACTGAATAACATAGGCAAAAACTCAGCTTCAACTACTGTATTGTTCAATGGCAAACCTTGTGTTTTCCTTAATGTGTCTAGTATCAGGCAAACTGGTTTTAAATTCTCCCTTTTTTCCCTTTTCACGCTTTCTGGCAGAACTTTGCTTTTAATGTGGGCAGACAAAGGGTTTGGGGGTGGGGCGGGAAGCTACTGCCTTGCATGTTGTCAGCATCCTGCTGTTGACTATAGCTGAATATGACTTTTTATAAAAACTTGTATCATCCATTTCTGATACCTAGAGATAGATGAGGACCATGCATCATTAGCATCTCAGGGCTCTCTGTCACTTTTGGGTGGAGTGGGGTGGAGATGTGAGAGCCAACCCTGATGTCTCCAAACAAGGCGAAAACCTGTCCATCAACCAAATCTAGTCAATTAGGAACAACACATTTTAAGTGCTTAGAGTTTAAGTGCCATTAATACCATTCATTATATTTTGTCATCCATCAAAGATGTATTTTCATTTTTTTTAACTTTTAAGTTTGGGCTCTCCTTCCTTACTGAAGAGCTCTATTTTTTTCCCTCCCTTTCTCATTATCTCACACTCTCTTCCCTAGAAACTGAACCTGGACTTGGTTGGTGATGTCAAGCCAAATGATGAACAAATAACCAAAATGTGATGTTCTTGAATGTTCCAGGAGCCCCTGGGATAGGGAAGGATGTTTCCTTCGGCTATTGTTATAGCCGACCTAGTGTCGTGAGACAACCACTTAAATCAATTTTTGTTATAAATAAGGAAATGCTAGTGAGTTTGAGGTCCCAGCACTGTTTGCACTTCCGTCTTTACTATTGTCTACTGTCAACTTTATATACTCCAAATGAGGTATATTTGATTGCATGTTGTCACTGATCCCCTAATCTTTGACAAGATCAAAAAGGACTCTTAGCTAAAGGTTTCCATGATTCAATTCATTTCCATTCATTGCCTTGGGGATGTGTGATCAATTAGCCCAGGAGGATGATTTTCCATAGTATCATACTACTAGAAGGGACCTTTAGGCTAGCCCATCTCCTGGCTTTCAAGCCAGGGACACAACTATAATATTCCTGACCAGTGGATATCCATCTGGTAAGATTTTCCAGGGTGGAAATCTCCTTGACCATTTTGGCTGGGCAGATGCAACACATACAATGGTGTTTCCTTTCTCCAAACTTGGTGTTACCCTTCTCCAAACTTATCTCCTCTGTTCTTTAGTCTCCACTTCATGTCGTCCTTTGGTTATGCGGTTGAACTATGGGAGAAGCTTCTTGGCCTTTGAGAATGCCTATGAATCAAGTGGCCCTATCTACCCCAGATAGGATTATGGTCAGCCCAAATAAATGTCTAAATTAATAGGACTTTGACTCATAAGACCCTTTATCTCTACAGTGGCAACAAGGTGTAGTTTATTTTACATAAAGTTATGCAAGAGTAGACATAGTTTCTTACTATGTATATCTATACACATAAAAGTGTATTTTTAAAATGGATTTTTAAGGTGTATTTTTAAGATTCTAATTCATGAGTTCACATTAAGCCTAAGGGCAGTTTCTGGACAAAAGGCCTCCTGAATCATTGTCAGTAGGTTTCACACTTGCTTAGGTTCCTAACCAGTCTAAATTCTGGATCCTTGGTAATGGCCCTTTCTCCATTTGACTGATTCCCAAACTGCAACATCCTAAAGTCTTCTACCTCCTTAGGTAGAAGTCTTAGTCCTGCAGGGCAGCCTGTGACACAATTATCCCTATGTGCCTCTAGCTACCAAGATTGGTGGTAGTGACAAGGTAGAGTCCAGCAGAAGGAAAGATACAAGAGAGAAGCACAAAGATAACTTTTGAGGCTAAATATGGAATGTGGCAATGCCAACCCTGTGTAGATCCAGTCTAACATATTTTATCCCAAACTCCAGAATGTATATTTTGTCTTCTTGAAATGCTGTATATATTACCCACCTGATTGTTAAAATATTATATGGACATGCTATCATGCACTTTATCATTCACCTTGCAGAAACACAACATATGAAAGGAACAAAATAATACAAAACTGCATTTTGCACCAAATGAAACATGTACATTCGCTGGAGTATGAAATAAAAGCTTTTTTAACTGCATCAGATCCCAAATAACTGCAGTTACCAATACAGCAATAGGAAAAAAAAGTGTGTATGTGTGTGTAGATATATATATATATATTATATATATATATATACACACATACATATATACATAGATATATATGCACATACATACACACACACATATATATACACATATATGTGTGTGTATATAAAATTTCCTCCATATATGAAGTAATCCTCAGATACAAATGCCTAGAAAAGAGAGGACCAAGATAAGTCCTACAGTGCAGATAGACTCAATAAGAATACATATCGAAGAGCTTTGTGAGACCTAAAGCCCTCTGCAAGTTTTAGAAGATTTTCTAAGAAGTTGGAAATTAAATAAAGGGCTTAATCTCTTTACCTTTCACACAGGACAACACTTTAGCAAAAGTACACGTAAGATTTCTTCTTGGGGATTGGGGGTGGGACAAGGAAGCATTCGATGAAGGATGATTTCTTTTAAAGGACAGGCTAAATTGTGCACAATGACCAAAGTCAATGTATGGTTGTGCCCCTTTACTAACCAAAAAAAAGAGACAATTCTTTTAGCTAGAGACTTTGACCAGGCACATGGTTAGACTTGCCAACCACAAAGTGATTTTTGCTTCCCCTTTTATTTGAGGGTTAGACTTCTCCAATATCTCTGGGTCCTGCAAGGAACAGGTAGAAGACAAAGGTAATTTTGCAGAACATACACTGGCATATTCCTAGCAGATGAACTGAGTATTCATGGCTGTTTTTAGAAGAGATAGTTTGGGAATGGGGGAGAAGATGGCATGGATGACCTCACTGACTAAATAAATGATATTGGAGAGATATAGTGGAAGGATCCCTGAACATGGCAGTCAGGAGACTTGGGCTCCAGCCCTGACTCTGTCCTTAGTCAGCTAATGTAGCTTTGGGCAAGTTACTTCCTTCTCTATGCTTCAGTGTTTTCGCCTGTAAGATGAGGTGGTTGTACTCAGATACTCTCTAAGGTCCCTTCTAGCTATGTGAATCTATGAAGAAAACTTCCCTGGTCTACTATCAATCAATAAATAAACATTTATTGAATGCCTACTGTTTTCTAGGCAGTGTGATAAATGCTGGGGATACAAAAAAGAAGTAAAAGACAGTCCTTGCCCTCAAGGTCACAGTCTAATCTACTAACTCATGAATCATTTTGCTCTGATCTGGAAATATCCAGTGATTCTGATATGTTTTCTATGACCTTAAGAATTCAATTTCCTAACTTCCACAACTTGTCATATGGCATATGGATGGAAACCACCCCTGTATGTGGGACAGTAGACTGGAAAATAGGATGATGTCTTCCCTTGGGTTCACAACTACCTTCTCTAAAGGAGACAGTAGTCAGATGACTTCATGTCATTTTGACATATGTTTGTTTGGATTTAAACTAATTGAGACATTTGACCTTGAGCTCATTGGCAGTCCAATGAATGGAAAGTTCAGTTTAACACTACGTTAGTTTGTGTACTATAAACACCCTCAAATTAAAGCATAGAAATACACATGGAAGAGGGGTCTACAGTGAAGGCCATGGAATATAATGCCATGGAGAAAGTATTGGCAGATATTTCTTTATCTGTGGCCCTCTCAAATCCCCCTTCGTTTCTTCTGAGATGACATTGATTCCTGTCTAAACCAGTGCAACTCATCTGTTTGTCTGTGTTTGGTTTCTAGTATTAATGATGCTGTGGATGGAGGTTGGATGGCTGTAGGTTCTCACTCAACACTTCAAATAAAAATATAAGTATCCTAGGCTTCTTCATGTACCACATATTTCCTAACCATAGGATAAGGCTATGAACAAGAATGAAAAAAAGCTCACTTGCAGAAAGCAAAACCATGAAAAGGGTGAACAATATTTCTAATGCTCTTTGCACATGACCATTGGTATGTCACCCTTTCTTGCTACTATGATGCAACAAATAGGAAATGACCAATATTGGGGCAATATGAGTGAAGTTGCTCTTGGTGCAATACTGGAGTCCACCAGCAACAGCCTTAAATTGGAAAAATGCTGAATCTCTGACCAAGAGGTCACTTTAATCTGACTCCACAAATATTAATTCTGCTTGTGGGAACTAGGGAATCACATGTACTTA